ATGGCCATTACTAGTCATTGGCCGTTCGTCTTTTAATCTATTGAGTTGTCGCCCAATCGTGTTTAATGACGAGAACACCACTATTACATCAAGGAGCTTCATAATTCTTTTTATTGCTTCTGGTGTGTTTTCCTCGTATGGTATTCAGTATCATATGTTGTCTCATCATGCGTGGTACTGTTTACTTTCTATAACTTTTGGTGTAGCAATCGTTTAATGAAGTCATTCTTTCTAAGTATGCCAATGATTATTTCAATTATGTAGGAGGTACTTTGATATATGTTAGAATACGAGAAACTATTAAATATATTTGTAATTTGTACTAGAGATATAACTAGGTTTTTTTTTACTATGCTATGAGTATTGGAAGATTAAATACAATTGATGTTGACCTATTGTTTGATATACGAAACTTTCTAAGAGTAATTCTAAATGCCATATTCTAAATCCAAGTCTAAATCCACGGGTTTCTCACCCCTTTTGTAAGAAGCCCTACCTGGTTGTTAATATCTTCAGGTGTGTGGTCAAACTCAACATAACAGGTATTAGGATTGATGACTCTATTTAATCCATTATCGGTATATTGAATTTCAGAGTTGTTTTTCTCCTAGACCGATTTCCAACTATGGCTATAAGATGCAGTCTCTCCAGATATTTAAACATGGCTGGCGAGTTAAGAAGAGATGGATACATACTTTGTAAAATGTATTTGTACGTGAGTAAATGTAACGAACTCGACCGGAATTTGAACTCTGCTTCTTTATTCGGGGCCGCTATCGATTACTCCACCGTGTCATTTCAATGTACGCAAATATATAAGAAATAAATGGCATTATTATAATGTTATTTTCTTTCTTTTTTCAGGCGTTAAGCAAATGGCGTTTCTGTCAAAACAACGTCTGGAAATTTGCTAATAATATCAGCAAGGCCAGCTCATTTCATATAACCTTTTCTTGGTCTTCGAATGTGATACTGACTTTCTGATTGCAAAACATACTGCCCATTTTGATCGGGAAATCTTCACCGAAATTTCAATGATTCACTTTCAGATAATGATATCAAAGAGAAATATATGACAGGCGCGTCGACGTCCACAAAATCTAGACAGATTTTGGAAAATAAGGCGGACGACGCACGTCGAGGAGAAATACAATTCTATATTAAATTATCTCTTCCAGCTGTTGAGTATATGAACGACGCGTAGAATATTTGCTGAAAAACGCACCAATTGCAATGCAGGTTTGAACACGGCAAAAATATTTTGAAAAGGAAGGCTGTCTGTGTTGGACAAATGGATCTAGGCATAGACCAGTGTCACAGATGATGTACATATTCAAAACTTATGAAAAATTATGAAATCATGCACGAAATTCAGGTACCTTTAAATTTCTCATTCAAAATTTGATGAATAAATCTTACTTTCATCAACAATAGGTTTGTTTAGTTTCACTTGCCTAGACTGTGTAGTTACTCAGCTATTTAAACATTCAATAATATTGTATGTATACATATATATATAAACGTTTCTTTTGACGCGTTTTGTCCTATAATATTTCGAAACACGTCACAAGAATTGTTTTCCATTTTGTCATACGTTTTTCTCACCATTGTTCCTGATATATAAAAATATATCGTTATCTCTTTATCACATATATATATATATATATATATATATATATATATGTGTGTGTGTGTGTGTGTGTGTGTGTGTGTGTTTGTAGATAGATAGATAGATAGAGAGAGAGAGAGAGAGATAGGGATAGATACATAGATAGTATGCCAAATTGGAAAGAGGATTTTTTGACGCGTTTCATCCGTAATGATTTAATCGGACTGGGTTTGCCTGATGTTGCCACGTCTACACTTGAGTAGGAAACGGAGACGCTGGTAGTTTCAAAATTTTTGAAAGAATAGTTTTTGCTGGGAAAGTATATTTTTTCCAATCTAGCCAATATTTGTCTGTATTCTTTTTTTCTTTTTCTCTCCATCAACTTTGTCCCTGACTAGGCGACATTGTGACAACAGAAAATCTACCAAGAATAGTTATATATTTTTGTAGCCTGGATGCAAATTTATTGTGGCTGAACTAGCAATCAAGGCACTTTCCAGACATTTTCAGCTTAGTGAATCATTTCTCTCTTAATCAAAATAGTATTTCTTAGGTCAAAATTATGGTCAGTTTCGTTAGGGTGAACAATAAATGGGTTTTGTCTGTTGCTTTTTTTTTTAAATAAGCCTTTTTTTCCAATTTGTCATACTATTTTTATAAATATTGTCTGTTAATATATAAATGAATAAAAAACATCAATGACTGTAAGGCGTTTGTTTAGATTCGGAAAATAATACGCTAGAATTTACCTTTCCCTCTTCTGTGCGCTGATACCTCGATCTCGGTTTGAAACAATCGGATGTCTAGGTGTACTGATGAGCTGTGAAACAGGCCTGTATGTGGATGACATTACAGATATATATATATATATATATATATATATATATATATATATATATATATATATATATATATATATATATATATGAATACACGTGATTGTAGCAGATGTTCAGCTTTTGTTTTAAACTAGCGGGGATACCCGGCGTTTCTCGGAAGATCTCTGAATAATAGTTTATTATTGACAATTTATCAATTTTTTTTCAGCCATCTTTTCAGCCCTCTTATAGAAAAAAAATTCTGGTTCAATTTTTTAAATAAAAAACTTTATTGTTTGTTGGTTTGTTACAAAATAAGTAAATTTATGAAAATACTACAAATACCACACTCGACATATATTTATTCAAAAAGACACTTTGTTTTTCGCTTCAAATACTAACATAAATACCCTGTTAATGTTGTTCTCATAGAAATCAAACTTAGATAAAATTCATTAACCCTTTTCAAATTACTATTGACAAAAGTAAATAAACTTAAATTAAGATATATTTAAACATTTAATTTAAAGATTTTTTTCAAGGAAAAATATAGTGAGCCTTACTTCTTCAAAAAATAATTATTTACTATTTATTTTGGAGGGGAATTTAGATTTTAAGTAAATAAAATTTTACGTCTAAACATTACATTAAAGAAGCAAACATTTCTTTATAAATGAATTTAATTAGCAACTATTTTTAAAGAGAGTAGAAGCAAACAATAAAATTGAGAATTTAATTTTGAAAAGCAATTATGTTTAAATTTCAAGTTATATTTGTATTTGAATAGAAAAAAACTTTAGTTAAATAAAGATTAGCAAAGACAGACATGACTTACGGTCAACATTAGTCGTGTTGAGTATTTGTTTTACAGATTTAACTATATTTTATTTAAATTAATTTTCGACAAAATAAGGCTCACTATAGATCTTTGCTTTAATAAAAATTAATTTAAAATTATTTAGTTTTTTTTGTTAGTTGCAAACCAAAAAACAATGAAATTTACTTCTTAGAGATTGAAGACAAAAAATATTTTCCATAAAATGGCAGAAAAATATTAATAAATCAATAATACGCACACATGCATGTTAATTAGTTTAGTTTTTTTTAGTTTTAGCCGAGCATAAACAAACACACAGACACACACTTGAATATTTGAATAAATAAATATTAAAACTTTTGTTAAATAATTGTATTTAATATTCTTTTTCATTTAAATTTACATTGTTGTTTTAATAATCATTTTTTAAGTTACGATTTTATTTACTACAGGTATGATAATAAATTCAAGAGAATAGAAATTTTGAAAATACAGACTGTATAGCGTTTCTAAAGTATCAGCAGAATAAAAAAGTAAAAACGAACGGTAATCCTAATCGGGAATAAGAATTATTACCCTTTGTTTTTTCTTCTTAATTTCGAATGCATTCTAATGCATTTTAATATTAAAATATCTTTGTAAATACAAATATTACGATCATAATATTTTTAAACGAAAAGCTGGCTTGGATGAAAAGGACATCTGTATATATATTTACTTTGTCATTAATTACTGGAGTTTTTTTTTTAAATTTTTAGCCAGCTACACACACGCATACAGAAAACTGTCCTTTGTATATGAATAAATAGCGTGATAATGTGCTCTCCAGTAAGGTTGGAAAAGGATCCTTTCGAGATGACACCACTGTGTAATCCAGTGCGCCTTAGACCACGTGGACACAGAGAATCGCACAACCCAGCAAGATAAAATAGATGCGTAATAATAATAATTACTGAAGATTCTTAATAAAATATCCTCACAGGCACGTAAGGAATTGTAAATATTTCTAGCAAAACACATAACGCAAGATCATTTATTATATAATTATATTAGGTTGGTGCAAAAATAATGACGCAATAATGTCGTTTTTGACGTATTTTTTAACGTCAAAAACGACATTATTACGTCATTATTTTGCACCAAACCTAATAAATATGTCCTGAAATAAATTATTTAACAACCTGATGTATATTTATATATAACCTATATATATATATATATATATATATATATATATATATATATATATTGTACTTTATTTTCCTAAGGCTTACGGCAATACCACGTTGAAACAGCGGTTCTCATACGATCACTGAAGTAAAGCAACGTTATTGACTAGATGGGTGAGTGCTTGGCAATAACAACTGCTGCCTGTTTAGTTGTGTGGGTGTCGCAATGGACAACGGTTCGGTATTAGAATTCGGAGAGCTGAGCTACAATTCCAGTTGGTTTCGTTATATTTCCTTACGCGCAATGGAATGGTATGAATCTAAATCTTCTCCCCATCTATGGGTTAATTAGAAGGTTGCGTATCAGTAAATCATTATTATCTCCCCCAAATTCTTACAATCTAAAAATATAGAAAATAATCTTCAACCAGTTGATAAGCCGTAAAAAGAAATCAGTAAAACAATCAATAGCTGTTCTAAATGAAAGAAATAAAGAAAGAAAGAAATGGGGAAAGGGGATTTTAGTATATCTAATTTCAGAAGACGCAGAAAGAAAGAAAGAAAAAAAGAAAGAAAGAATATGAAGCTTATAAGATTGGAAAAAGAGATGGTATGGACGAAAGAAAGAAAAAAGAAAGAAAGAAAGAAGCAAGGAAAGAATATAGATCCAATAAAACTGGAAAAAAGGCCTTATGAAGGAAGAAAGAAAGAAAAAATATGAAGCTAATATGATTGGAAAAAGAGATGATATGAAAGAAAGAAAGAAAGAAAGAAAGAAAGAAAGAATCTAATAGGCCTCGAAAAAGAGATGGTATGGTTTGAAAGAAAGAAAGAAAGAAAGAAAGAAAGAAAGAAAGAAAGAAAGAAAGAAAGAAGAATATGAAGCTAATAAGATTGGAAAAAGAGATGGTAAAGAAAGAAAGAAAGACGCAAGGAAAGAATATAGATTCAATAAAACTGGAAAACAGGTCTTATGAAGGAAGAAAGAAAGAAAGAATATGAAGCTAATATGATTAGAAAAAAAATATGAAAAAAGAAAGAAAGAAAGAAAGAAAGCATATGAAGCTAATATGATTGGAAAAAGAAATGATAAGAAAGAAAGAAAGAAAGAAAGAAAGAAAGAAAATAAGAAAGAAAGAAAATAAGAAAGAAAGAAAGAAAATAAGAAAGAAAGAAAGAAAGAATATGAAGCTAATATGATTGGAAAAAGAGATGATATGAAAGAAAGAAAGAAAGAAAGAAAGAATATGAAGCTAATATGATTGGAAAAAGAGATGATATGAAAGAAAGAACGAAAGAAAGAAAGAAAGAAAGAAAGAAAGAAAGAAATGAATGAATGAATGAATGAATCTAATAGGCCTCGAAAAAGAGATGTTATGGTTTGAAAGAATGAAAGAAAGAAAGAAGAAAATGAATCTAATTAGATTAGAAAAAGAGATGGTATCGTTTGAAAGAAAAATAGAAAGACAGAAAAATAAAACATAATTAAATCCCTTAACGAACGAACAAACGCAAAACTGAAAAGAAACGAAAGAAAAAACGATAATAAGGGAAAAAATAAATAATGTAGATTTCAAAAATTGGTCAAACCAGTTTAGAGGAGAAAGAAATTTCACAGAAAAGTGTATGGAAAATTTTCTGGAAAATTCTGATAGAAAAATGACATTTTATTTTTACTTATTTATAGTCAGTTTTACATTTCAGTGTGTGCGCATATTTTAAATATAAATAAATAAATAAAAGGATTTCAGAATGATGTTCATTTTCATATACTTAAATAAACAAAAGGGAGTAAACGGGAGAAACAGAAATAATGTTAGAAACAAAGTAGAAAGTGTTGAATTAATATAGGCTTTTCATTCTGTTAGGGAATGTTGGACAATTTCCCAAATAATAAGGAAAAAATTGAATCTTTAGAAATGTGGTTTACTGAAGGGTGCTGAAAATTGAATATAAGCAACGATGGAGTTTTAAAGAGAATAGCCACGGAAAGAACAATTATATTCAAAGTCAGGAAAAGATAGCTGAAATTCCTTGGTAAAATAATGAGGAAGAAAGGATTGGAAAACTTAACTCGCATGGGGCAACTTGAGGGATAGAATGATAGAGGAAGTCACCGGGCCTTACTAGAAGTGTGAATGGACAGAGAAACGGTGGACAGGGACTTTAGCAAAGAGAGGACAAATGCTAAGTGAAAGGAAGTTGTGGAGAAAAATAATCGCCAATATACTGAAAGACCGTGGCAGAGAAGACATCTTGAAGATAAAGGAAAATATATACAAATCTTTCAAAAAGGAAATTATAAATGAATAAAAGAAAAATTCTCCAGCGTCCTGAAATTATGATAAGTGAATTCTATTATAATGTAGTTAATCTAAATAATAAAAGCTTTTTGATTTCTTCATTTTTTTGGGGGGGGGATTATAAAATGAATATTCACAAGAAAATTTCTTTTGATGAAGTCCCTCGAAACTGAAGTACGCAATTTATATATAAAAGGTCTTCTTTTAACAATGAATTAGGATCTGATTCGAGAAACCGAGTTAAAATCAAGTAACTTATTTCATGTTCTTTAAGTAAGTTATTCAATTATAACGTCTAAATGGTTGAAGTTTATCGAGGTTTCGTGGACAAAATTTATTTTGAAGGAAGAAATCAATTATTGTAACAGATGGAGATCGCAACAGGCACTTAACATTTCCTTTTTGATAAAATCCTTTGTTCAGAAATGTCTTGTTACATCCAAATAAATGAAAAGAGAACGATTCCATATTTGCCGAAATTAAATTTATCCTTCTTCGGCAAATGGCTGGAAATGCATCATTAAAGCGAGAAGGAAGTGTGTATATAATTTCAGATGTTTTGTCACTTAAGGATCATCTAAATACATTTGGGATTATTGATGTGAAAAGAGTCACTGGAAAACTTTTTTTTTGCGGATTGAGATCGAAATGTATTAGATATGAGAAAGGATGATGAAAAAATGTGAATATGGAACAATGGAACCAGGAAAATAGCGAACGGAAGAAGTAAAGAAAGAAGGAAAAAAAATGAATAAATAAATAATGGCGGAAAGAAAGACCAAAATGAATCTTCGAAGACAATGAATGAAATAAAAAGCTTGAGAGAGAAAGAAAGAAGAAATAAATGAAAGAAAATGAGAATAAAAATATGAAGACAAAGAGAGAAACAAAAACGAAAGAAGCAAATAAGTAACCAGAAATAAATATAGAAAAAAGAAAGAAAGAAAGAAGGAAGGAAAAAACGAACAATAAAACCTTGAAGAGAAAGACAGAAAGAACAAGACAATGAAACCTGATAATAAAGAAAGAAAGAAAGAAAATGGAAATTATGTTCTGAAGATAAGAAATAGAAAATACAAACAGGCGATTACGTATAAAGAAATAATGATAGTGAAAATAAATAAATGGACAAAAGAAATATACACGCTGCTCTAAAAAACAAACAAATGGAGAAGATAATGGAAAGAAAGAAAGAAAGAAAGAAAGAAAGAAAGAAAGAAAGAAAGAAAGAAAGAAAGAAAGAAAGGGAAATGATGATAAAGAAAGGAAGGGATAATGAAGCAATTACGTTTATAAAAATAATGAAAGCTAAAGAATAAACGCAAAATAGAAATGTATACCTTGAGCTAAAATAAAAAAGAGAATAGAAAGAAAGAAAGAAAGAATGAAAGAAGAAAGAAAGTAAATAAAGGGAATGATGTTCTGATGATAAAGAAATAATGAAGAGAATATATATATATATATAGAAATAAAGAAAACGAAGGAAAAAGCGGAAAAGAAATGTAGGCTCTTCTCTAAAACAAAAAAAAAGAAGAAAAAAAAATGGAATGAAAGAAAGAAAGCAATGATTACGTATACAGAATTAAAGAAAGCGAATAAATACATGGAAAAATTAAATGCATGCACGGCTCTAAAACAAACAAACGAGAAAGAAAGAAAGAAAGAAAGAAAGAAAGAAAGAAAGAAAGAAAGAAAGAAAGAAAGAAAGTTAAGGGAAATAATGATATGCTGAGAAAGAAAGAAAGAAAGAAAGAAAGAAAGAAAGAAAGGAAGAAAGCAAGAAAAAAGAAAGAAAGAATGAAGTGGTTACACATGTAGAAAGCGAAGGAATACACGAAAAAAAGAAATGTGTACATGGCGCCAAAACAAACAAAGAAATGAAAAATGTAAAGAAAGAAAGGAAGAATGATAGTAATGGAGAATTAAGTTCTGCTGACAAAGAAAGAAAGAAAGAAAGAAAGAAAGAAAGAAAGAAAGAAAAAAGAAAGAAAGAATGGTCACGTATATAGAAGAAAGAAAGCAAAGAAATAAACGAATATGATAAATGTACACAATCAAACGAAAAAGAGAATAGATAGAAAGGATGAAAAGAAGAAAGAAAGAAAGAAAGAAAGGAATAAAGAAAGAAAAAAAGAAGAATGATGCCTTGAAGACAAAGAAAAAGAGTAAAGAGACAAAAAAAGAAACAAAGAAGCGATTACGAATGTAGAAATAAAGAAAGCGAAGGATTAAACAAAAAAACGAATGTATACACAGCTCAAACAAACAAAAACGTAGAAAAAGAAGTGAATAGAAAAAAAGAAAGAGATAATGACGCTTTAATACAGAATATAAGAAGGGGAAAAAAAACAATGAAACCTTGAAGACAAAAAATGTCTTCCTCGAAGTATATTGACCAAACTCTATTTCAATTTTAGGAACCCGACATTATTATTATTCATTTATATTTGAGGAAAAAATCTTGTTGATTTTTTATCAATGTTTTCCTGTACAGTTACTGGTATGTTTATGTTATTATTAACTATGTATGTGCATAAGGCATTAGAAGGTTTGAAAGTATAGCTGCTTGAAGAACTGCCTTTCGTTTCAATGCTCTAAATAGCGTGTCGTCTCATTGGGCCTGTGACTAATGAAAAGTCCGAAAACCTCCGGGCCCATTGGCACTACTGAGATATTTATCACTGCCGAAGTTAGGATTTCGCGAAAACATTGAATTGGTCTATAGTGTGTGAAATTCCTCAATGACCATCGACACTCCTAATGGCCTTTCAATTGTGTTGCTTATAAGAGATTTATGCTACACGGTCTTCCGCGATGTCCTGTGTAGACAGAAAACATTTATTATCTTCCATGACCTATTTGAATATTTGCTGTAAATTTTGGTTCTAATCTTGTGTCTAATTATTTTTTATATTTCAGTTCCGGCCTTTATAGTTCCTATATTTTTCTTTGTAGTTAAGTCTTCTTTCTTTCTTTCTGTCTTTCTGTCTTTCTTTCTTTCTGTCTTTCTGTCTTGTCTTGTCTTGTCTTTCGCTTATATTTTTCTATCTTTCTACACATTCATTCTTTTTTTTTTATTTTCTGTTTTTCGTTGTAAGTTAAATTTTTTTTTTTTCCGGTTGATAAATTTTATTTTCCATTGTTTGTGAAGAAGATGAGAGCCTTTTAAATATAAAGAAATATCGTTTGGAAGGATTGATAGAGGCTTTAAGGGCATTGGCTTTTAAAGTAGGAAAATACTGTACGAGCGGTTTCATTCTTAATTAAGTGAAAATTCCATTCACGCTACAACGAAAATGTAATATGTTCGTTTCTGGCTTATATTTATGCGATGAACAAAAAATGCTTATGGCAAAAAAAAAAGATAATTTAATTATATGCTCTCCCGAAACTAATTAAAATAAACATTCGGTAAGGTAAACATCCCTTACTATATAAAGATACACTCTAAGAGAGTCACTTCTAAAACCCTGCCTCAAATATTGTTATGTTGCCCTACAATATCAGAGACGCAGGTTCGTGCTAAGATTGTATTCATAAAACTTGGCATAGAGAAAATGATATTTGTTATTGTTGTGGATTCCGAGATGAATTCGGTCTCCAAGGAATGACAAACGCAATAATTAAATATAAGAAATAAAATGTATTTACACAATCATACAAAGAGTAATACTGTTAGTAAGTCCATGAACGTGGTTAGTAGCAAATACAGATGGATATATACAGTCTCGAAGTAGGACTTCCCTAGAGTCTACGTGCTTGTAACTGACTTCTACAAGAGCTTACCCCACACTATATCCGTTCGTATTCATTCTCTCTCTCTCTCTCTCTCTCTCTCTGTATTTAACGGCAGCACTCCAAGTAGCACTGGTAGAGTCCACTTATATGAAAAGGGGAGGACCCAATAACAGTTATGAAAGTGCATATGAAGCAGCAATTATTTCAGTTGTGTTGAAGAAATACAGGGTGTCCATAAAGTTCATGTGTACTTTAAAGAATTTATAACTTTATTTGCGATAGAAATAATCTGAAAAAAAATGTTATAAAGTTTAATGTACCTAGTTTTAAGTATAGCTAAAAAAAAACTAATGCGATTTCAGGCATTACTGTAAATCACTTGACAAATGTTTTCCGTGAACTGCAAAATCGTATTACCCTTTGTATTACTAATGATGGAGGATATGTGGAAACTTCAATAAAACCTTAAAAAGTATAGATTTACTTCTTTCAAATGCTTTTTAAAAATTATTTCTTTGGCAAGTACAAATAAAGATATAAATTTTTTAAAGTGCACCCGAACTTTATGGACACCCTGTATATATTTTGTTATTTGTAGTCTCTTGTTGAACGTTTAAAGAGACAATGAAGTGGTGATTTACCGACTGTTTTTTTTTTACTACTGACCAACATTTTCTGGGTTATGTAAAGGTGGGACGTATTTCGTATTTTAAGAATCATTCATTTTTTACGAGTAAATATTGCATCAACAATTTCTAAGAATAATAAGGATTTTCTTTTTCAGATAGGACGCCTATTATTTGACCAGTAACTGGACGAAGAAAACAAAGATGCAACGGATAAAACTCAAGTGGACAAAATTCCAGCCTCTTATTCCAAAGGTTAACAAAATGTCTCATGAATAACTTTCATAACACTGAAAACTTAAGGAAATTTTAATTCAAATGTTAATATTAAATTGGCGCATTCATAGTAATATTCAATATATATATATATATATATATATATATATATATATATATATATATATATGTGTGTGTGTGTGTGTGTGTGTGTGTGTGTTATATAAAAAAATAGATTTCTGTTGGGTACTTAACGGATTAATGGGTCCACGCTGTTTGATATAAAAATTCATTGTAAATCGCCCCAAACTCTAAAAACGTTCCTTAACAATACTAAAGTCAGCTATTTAATATACTTCATAGTTACGGAGTCGTTTCTTTTTTTTTTACGCCATGTCCTTTCAGGACGTAGGCGATCATGGCTCACCACTTCCCGCAATCCATTGCAAATCTCAACAAGTTACTTCCCTTTGCCTCCTTCCCAAGACCACGTTCTGTCATCCATTTGCATAAGCCTGCCAGGTATGACACGCGTCGTTTTCCCTTGTCTCTCTTTCCCTCGATTCGATCCTTGAGAAATCGGATTCTCCAGGCCCTCCTTTTTCATTGTGTATACCAGAAACTTTAGTATAAGCCTCCTCCTTGTTTGCAAACGCATCGTTGCTCACAGGCTCGGTTGATGATATCCTTAGCATCCTTCTGTAGAACCTCATCTCCGTCGCCTCGAGTCTCTTCGTCATCTTTGTGGAAATCGCCCAATATTCGCTGCCGTAAAGAAGGACAGATGTCACGTAACAGCTCAGTATTCTTTTGTTTGTTACCAAACTATTCCATAAGACCTGATATATTTGAGGAAGACCATAAAACGGGGGCTTTCTAGGGAAAAACCTAACCAAACAAAATAGATCGTATACAAAGATAGTTTTATGCCGAATTAAGGCTTAAAAAGTTTTATAGGTTTGTACATATTGTGTGTATATATATATATATATATATATATATATATATATATATAAACCCCTAATGAGCCAAGTACTACCTACCTAGCTTTCACCATATGGGATCATCAGGATGAATTTACAATATATATATATATATATATATATATATATATATATATATATATATATATATATATATATAAAGGAAGCACGATGGATAGCGGCTCGGACTGAGGAATCGGAGAGACGAATTCGAATTCCATTTGGATTCGTTGCATTCTCTTACGTGCTAATAACCTCTTATCCCCACCCCACCGAAAGCTATGGGTAAATAGCAGGACAGACTGAGTTCTATGGGCTGCCTTGGGTGGCAACCAGTCTAGGAGAAGGTAACTCTGAATTCATATATCGGACTGGAGATAGTTGGGCTCTGTCGGTCTATCTTGCCTAAGAAACACCACTTCTACTGCTGATGGATCACGTTATTCGCGATCAGTCGCGGTATAAATAACCTACAATGGGTTGATAAGCCATAGAAAATAAATCAATCAAACCATATCAGTCTCATATATCTATCTATCTATCTCTATATATATACATATATATATATATATATATATATATATATATATATATATATATATATATAAAAAGTGAACATAAAGTATTTGTTTTAAATCTGATCAGAGGCAGAGAACATTCTATTAGGTTGATTTATAAATAATTTATGTTTTTACCTATCAACTTTATTCTTCAAAAAATGAAATACAATTACATTTTATTCAATTATGCATTCACCATTTTTTGCAGTATCCTGTTGCTACTTATCAGACAGCTCTTTCATAACGTTTTTATTCACCATCATATTCATTGGTATATATATATATATATATATATATATATATATATATATATTATGAAAAGGAGAAAGTCAGACAATTATTTAAAGACATTTTTTATGTTTAACATTCTGTCTTATTATTTTAAATGTCCATTTCATAATGTGTGACGTCATTTGTTTACATTTGATACGCCATGAGCAGTTATGAATGTACGTGAGAGAATCATAAAAAATTGAAGTTTATAAGCAGTAAATTCGACTTTGCCGACTGAACGATCCTTTGTGGCCGCGCGGTAAGGCACGTCAGGTTATATGATGGCTTCGTATAGGATACAGGTTCGAATCCTATCGGAGGACGAAAATTTCTCGGACATTAAATATTATTTAATACTGTTTACTATAAACGGAGCATTTACTTAAATACTTGTATTTATAAAAAGAATGCTAAACATAAAAATGTCTTTATATATATATAGGGTGCAATGGGTAAATTGTCGCCATTTCATATTTTTAATTTCACACATATGGGGTGTTTGGGATTTTGTCGACTGCCTAAATTCTTCGTGGGAGAAGAAGCAAGTTGCACTTTGTGATGTGGACTTTTAACCAATTTTCATTTATATCCATGGTATTTTCCGAGGTTGGACTTGTGATTCTGATATTTGACCCTGGAATTAAAGAACTCGGAATATGACCTTTTGGATCTGAACCTCCATTCTCCCCCCCCGCCACCACCACCTATGGTTTACTTAGACTTGTATCACTAAATCATTATTATCTAAAAAATTATTACAATCTACAAATATTTTCTGACATTAAATAACCTGCAATGGGTTGATAAGCCATAAAAAATGACTCAACCCAGTAACTACTGTAGTTTTCGTGTAAGTACATAGAACGCTTAAGATTTGGAGAGTCCCTCACAGTGACTTTAATTTATAAAAGAATCGTAAACATATACAACATTGTTCCGACGTTCAAATCTCTTCATATCTATGTGAAATTAGGCAGATGGCCAGAAAAGGAATCAGTCCATAGCTGCTTCTCTCCATCTGTTTACTCTCATTGTAGACAAGTGTCTAAGCATATACAAATACTGAAGGGGTTAGATGGACACTGCGTCTTTAAACATACCTCGCAACATCCAAAATGCTGTTAGAAAACAGAGATCTTGCTTCCCATCCCAAAGCCATTGCACATCTGGTGAGGAAGGCTATACTTATGGTATAGATCTTCAGAATTGGGATAAGTGTAATCTTGAACTAAATCAACATCGTCTATCAGTCGTTCAATGAAATCAATCTTAATATAAACTTTTCCAAAACAGTGACAAAGATCTGAAATTAGAATGAAAGATATGACGACAATCATAAACATTCAGAATATGGAATTATTAAATACTGAACATTTCTAATACCTCGGTTATTATTATGGACTAGCAGCCATACCCATCTGATCGACCGGAAACGGCGTTCAATTAGAAATGGAGCAAAAACAGCGTCATGTTTAGATGCAACACAGTCTATTTTCTTTAATTAATTTAAAGTATTTTCATTAAAAATCATTTTGAATTAATGCAGTTTCTGATGTAAACGAAATAGCCTGTATTTATTCAATCGAAGCTAGCCGAAGACATGAAGGGGTAAAACAGGTATCATGAAGACCCACTTCAGACTACGATTATTTTGGAATTTTTGTAATTCAATTTATCAGTGTGCTACCAGGGATGTAAAAAAGGATACATTTATAAAGCAATTGTTACGTTTGATGAAAATCGGTTGAAAGATCAACGAAAAATAAGAAAGAAACCAGTAAAAATCAACGTTTTTCGCAACGTAAAAACGGGTTTTCAATATATGGGTGGACTCAATTCTCAAGTAAAATAGTTGTTAAACAATCAACTTCCTGGATACAATTGAGTGAAGTTTGCATTAGATTGCTTGAAAATTGAGTGATATTTTAGTTTAAAATTTGTGGTGAAATCGATTTGTGTTGCAATCGATTTTTTCTCTTTCGCTAAACGCAGTGGCGTATAAATAAAAATGAGATATTGTTAAGCTCGTCATGATGTAAGTAACCTACATACCGTGTTTGAACGAAATCGGAGGAAAAAGTTGAATTTATCGATTTTTCATCGGCTTTATCGATTATTGATGTTTTAAATTATCGATTTTTACGCTAAGAACCTACTTCATCCATTGTATAATATATGTGCCAAGTTTGGTCAAAATCGGTTGGATGGATCTCGAATGAAAAGTTATCACACAGACAGCCAGTCAGACATACAGACACACAGACATCCTCTGTTGCATATATATATATATATATATATATATATATATATATATATATATATATATATATGTACATATGTATAGATAGATAGATAGATAGATAGATTTAATCTTAATATAAGATGTAAGGAAATTGAACCGAGATTACCTGATCGCGCAAGTTATTACACAACTAAACAATTAACTCGAGTAATGTTCTTAACCCTTAACACTCTGCATTATTAATATTACTTCCCTTTCCTTTGAATTATTGTTCAAGGCCTCTCAATTTTAGTATAATTTTTGTTAATTTCAGTTAAATTTTTATCTGTTGCCATAGCAGGATATGACAACACAAATATGAAATTCGACACACTATTGTTCAGGGATTAGTCAATTTCAGTGACAGGATAAACATTTTGTACACAAAATGCAGTCACATACAGAGTGATAATGGTTAAAATGTCTCGGCAGATCGAGACTTTCATATGGGGGGGGGTACCGAAACAAATAGTGCTTAGCGAGGACTTTTCATTTTCAAACCTCCTGAATTGACTGAACAGAATCACAAACAAATGAAGTTCTTTCCTTTAATCATTGTGCCTCAAGCAAGGCGGGAATGGAACTAGTATGTACGGGTGGATTACAGGAAGTGAAGTGAAAGATAGACTGAAAATGGAGAGGACTAAGGAAAGCATTAAACTGGAATAGGCTTAAAGAAGACAGATGACAACGACTGACGTTTCATTTAAATTTTTTGAAGATTGTAGTTGGCAGGGAAGAAAGAAATCGGAAAGGAAATCCACAGGTTGGAACTGCGAGAAAAGAAACCGCTAGAGTAGAAGTTGCGGTCGCTTAGAGTTATTTCAAAAGTAAAACGGTGAGGCCAAGTTGCCAGAATCATAGCATGCTTAGATTCATGTGGTCGGAAATTCAGGGAAAAATGCTTGTCAATGCAGTTCCCATGAAAATGTTTGTAGAAAAGACAGAGGGATGCCTGGTTATGTCGGTGATAAGTTAGACTGAAGTTGAGATGTCTGCTCAGGGTCGTATACATTACAGGTCCTTCTTTGGGTTTTGTCAAGAATCTCGAGATCTATATCAGGAGCAGATATGGCAACAGTATTCAAAGGACGAATGGTAGATTTATAAATGTGTAAAATGATTTCTGACGAGACAACATTTCTGGCACGAGACATTGAACAGACTTTTGTTGTAGTAAACAAACAAGTCAGTTGAAAACAAGAGGTCAAGCAGGCGTCGTATGTTGATCTTCTTGCATTTAGGATCAGCCATTCTGATGGCAGGCAGAAAAGGTTATCTGTGATTATTAAATGAGAGCTGTTTTGTCTTTGAAGCATTCAAATTTATAAGCCATTTTCTGACCCACGTAACGACTTATTGGAGGTTCTTTTCAAGAGCAGTCGACGGGTTTACTTTGTCAGATCTGTCGTATTTGTTATTGAGACAGAAGTAAATGGCTGTGTCATCTGCATAAATATCTAGTTGAAAACTGATGATATCGCGGAAATAATTGATGACGATCAGAAACAACGTAGGTTCCAGGATAGAGCCCTTAGTCGGGTAGCATGAAAAGATCTTGAAGCGAGCACCTTCAACACGATCTTCATTACATGATGACTTTGGATTAAGCCAAATATTAATGCATAAAACCCAAGGCCTTGAACTTGCAGAGAAGGCCAGCATGCGAAAACATGTCGAGATATCTAAAGCCACAACTCGAGTTTGATAGACAAACTGGCGAAATGGAAGTCACGTTGTTTGTCGAAAAAAAGGTATGCGAATTAAGATGCTTAAATAATTCGGCTTTGAATTCGAGTAATTTTCTGAAAAGAGGTAAGAGACTAATAGGGCGATACTTAGAGGGATCAGAAGCTTCTTCAGAGTTCTCAAAAACAGGAACTACAGAAGAGAACCACCAACGAACTGAAAACAAAAATGAAGCAACGAGGCACGCTCAGAAGCACATTTCTCAAAATGACATCAGGGATGACGTCACATCCGCTTACCTTTTGGGGATATAATTTACCAATATATGTCTATATTTCTGAGATGAGGTATTATGTACATTATTTACGTTACGCCTGATTTTTCCACTTCCCCTCGTGTTACAGCTTTCTTAAGGTAAGGCTTCAAGAACACTATAAAGCTGTAAGACGAAGGGAAGTGTAAAAATCAGGCGTGGCTTGCCACATATGGAGAGAGAAGGGAGATCACCGCCCTCTGTGGGATCAGGTTGAGATCATAGCCAAGGAACACCATATGCTAGGCCACAAAAAACTTCTGAGCCGACCAAGCATAGAAATGAATACAATATGAGAACCAGTTATAAGGAGTGCCAGAGAAAAGCGATAACAACAACAAAAATTGCAATATGAGCTCTGGTAAAAACATGAAATGATAACAAAAAATTGCAATATGAGCACTGGTAAAAATGGTTGCTGAAAACATTAGGTTTATAATACCCAGAAATTCATACACAAGTGTCCTCAATTAGATAAAGCCGTTGGTTAGATCCAGTGAGAGGACCCAAAGAGTGTAAGTTCAATACCCGGTTAAGGCAGGAGGGATATTAACAGGAGATAACTGATAACTGGCATCCATCAAACATGGCACGTGGAACTAGAACAGTCTACGCTAGTGAGCGAAATAAATGGTTAAATTCAACATTCCAACAACCTGAAGAAGGCCGGAGCGTACAACGGCCGAAACGTTGCAATAAGTATCGCGACAAAAATGAGGACAGTCGTCCGAATAATGTAAATAATGTACATAATTTAACAAATAAAAAAAAAACAAAAAAAAAACGAAATCACTTGGGGACATTAAACGAACGCAACAACTAAAACGGATAACTCATGAAATTCAGAGTCAAAACACTAAGAACGTATCAAAATTGTTATAATGAAAATACCGGCAATGCATTTTCATGGTAATGAAAACTACCAGCAATACATTTCTGTAAGGAAAAAATATTAGCAACAATACATTTTTGAAAAATAAAATAATTACGAGCAATACATTTTTGTAAAAAAATGTCAGCAATACGATATTTTAAAAAAATGCCACCAATACATTCTTGTAACATAAAAATTACAAGCAATGCATTTTTGTGACAAAAAAAAATACAATTACCAGGAATAGATTTTTGTAAAAGAAATTAATATTGCTCCCAGGAAAATTAAATTTCTGTATTACATGACCCATTAGGAGTTGATAAGCAAGTAAAAAACAAAACAAAACAAAAGCATAAGTATGATTTAAACATAAGAGTATTTAGCTATGTATTCATCGGCAGTCACGTGAAAAAAATAAACAAACTGAATTACAAGTTGCTTGGCCACAGGACTAGCATATCCATCTTGTAAAACCTACTTGCTCCAGTAACCACAGTAGACTATTTAATGTAATTTTGGTTGTCACCCGACAGGTTTACGGGCTATATTTAGTCGTCCCCCCACGAGGGCGTCATGTGGCACAAGGCCTTTTTAACGTGGGCATTTCCGAGCCATTAGGCTCGGCCAAAAAATAGCCCATTTGAACCAGTATAAACGGGTTCAGGGCCGGTTTTACCTCCCCGAAGGAGACTCCGCCCTTCGGCGTAGTCTCCTTCGGGTTCCTCTCCGTCCCTAGACAGAGAGTTGAACCGAACAGTCGCTCAGAATGTGACAGGTTTACGGGTGCGTCAAATTGAAACATACCATCCCGAAGTTATGCAATATCGTGTCTGTGAATAACTAGATTGGTGACCGCTTGCGAATACCAGGTGATATAAGCTTGGAAATAATGGCGATGGGATAATGGAAAGGAATTGTTCATCGGAGAGCCGCGTTCCAATTCCCGTTAGGTTCGTTGTATTCTGTTACGCGCAAACAGCCTTGAGAAAGGTAGGACACCAACTCTTTTCCACCTCATCTACACGGTAATTAGTAAGACTTGGATCATTAAAACCGTTATTATCCCAAACAATAATCTTACATGCATTATTCGGACTGTTATCCTCATCTTCATTGGCATATTCACAACGTTTCGGCCGTCGTACGCTCCGACCTTTTTCAGGTGATTGAAATTTCGAATCGAACCCTTTATTTCGTCCACTGGAGTAGATTGTTCTAGCTCCACCTGCCATACCTCTTCCGGATGTCTCAGTTAAAGAAAAGGTATCATCCGCTGCTTAAACATCGAGCAAAAGTCATAAATGGCGACCCAGTAACATACCAACAAGAAATAGTCGATATAAGCAGTACCCTACAACGTAACAACTAGCCTGGCACGTGGAACTAGAAAAATCTACCTCGGTGGACGAAATAAAGGGTTCAATTCGAAATTCCAGTCACCTGAAGAAGGCCGGAGTGTACAACGGCGGAAACGCTGTGAATATGGCAATGAAGATGAGGATAAAAGTTCGAAGAATGTAAATTATGTAAGTAATTGTTATGGTAATTTACCCACGCTCGCCTAGACTCTCCTAACTATAAATAGGAGCAGGTATTGCCTTTTGAAGAAGAAAGTTTTCAGCACTCAGCTCTGAGAGTCTGACTGAACATTCTTGCACTAACACTCTCATTTGTATAGGTCTGTATTACTGTTTCTGTTAATATATTTGTTTAATTCAATTCTTCTCTTTGTGTCTTTATTTCTGGCCCTAACAAGGCCACAGCAGTAATCATAATACCTCATCTCAGAGATATAGACAACACCTACAATCTAAAAATATATTCTGGCTTTAAATAATCTGCAATGGGTTGATGAACCGTATAACAATAAATCAATCTATAATCTACAAATGTTTACCTTGTCATCTGGACGATAAATAGGCAAAGGATGTCTAGAAATTTTTCAGCTGTTTTTCACCCCTAAAGATGTTAATTAGGTAATGTCGTCTTTTTTGAAAAATTCAGGCTTTGTCTTTATGTTTTCCTTCGGATATTATATTAAGTAATAGCCGTTTCCTTGAAATCAACATTGTTTCTATCCCTGGGATTAGCCAGATAGTGTGGGCGACTTGTGTGCTTATGTTGTGTTGTTATATCTCTCAACTAAATTTTAGCGGACAAATGCTATCCTTTTGTAAAGGACGACGTGGTGTTCTTTCAAATAAAATAGATTCAATACTTGGGGGATTTTACTATATATCTAAATAAAGAATAACATCGCTCACAATAGAAGAGAAAGAGAAAAATATATTTATGTGTGTATAGATAATTCATGGGATTAACGTGGGATAAGCACTCAACTTCATGTAGATAGTTTTTGGATTAACATGGGATAATCAATCAACTTCATGCCAGTGGAAAACGCGATGACGAGAAGGCGTACTCATAGAATGTTGCGCTCTAGGGGCTTAGAATTAAACTGAAATGAAAGACGGCGAAATGAAATGAAACAGAAATAATGACAAAAAGAATAAGGTACGTTAAAAAAGATTAGGAATGGGACGAGAATCCTATAAAATGTAAGAAACAAAGAAAAAATGAAAAAATAAGGATAGAAAGAAAAAAATAAGACAAGAAAGAAAAAATAAGAAAAAAATAGATTCTGTCTATATTTCTAAGATGAGGTATTAAGTACATTCTTTACATTATTCGGACTATTGTCCTCATCTTTTTCGCCATATCTCTTCCTCAAGGACACATGGCACAGTGGATAAAGGCGTTGGTTAGATCCAGTGACAGGACCCAAATACCCGGTTAAGGCAGTGGAGAAATTTCAGAAGGAAATTAACAGGAGATAACTGATAATTGACATCCATTAAAACAGAGCACGTGAAACTAGTACAGTATACACCAGTGAGCAAAATAAAGGGTTAAGTTCGACATTCCAACCAACTGAAGGAGGCTGGAGTGTACAACGGCCGAAACGTTGTTATAAATATGGCGACAAAGATGAGGACAATAGTAAATAATGTAAAAACTTAGCAATAAGAGAAAAAATTGAAAAATAAGTAAAGAAAGAAAAAGTGTAAAAATAAGGAAAATATAAAAACTAAAGAAACTAAAGAATAAATGAAAAATAATGAAACAAATGAAAAATGAAAAATAAACAAAGGAAGAATATTAAATGAAAAAATAAGGAAAGAAAGGTAAAATGAAAAAATAAAGATAGGAAAAAATAAAAAGAATAAGGATTGAGAGATAATCAGGAAAAAATTAAGAAAAATGTAAAAAAAAAATGAGAAAATAAACGATAAAAGAAAAATAAGGACCGACATGAAAAAATGATAAAAAAAATCAAAGAAATAATATTAAATAAAAAAATGAGGAAAGAACGTAAAAATGAAAAAAAATAAGGTAAGTATGTAAAAAAAAAAAAAAAACGAAAACATAAGGAATAAAAGAAACCAATGAAAAAATAAGGAAAGAAATGGAATAAAAAAAACAAAGAAAGAATATTAAATGAAAAAATAAGGAAGGAAAGATAAAATGAAGAAAAAAGAAAGAAAGAAAACCTGAAAAATAAGGAAATAAAATAAAATGAAAATTATGGAAAGAAAAAAAAACATGAAAAATAACGAATAAAAGAAAAAATATGGAAAATAACAACGAAATGAAAAATAACGAATAAAAGAAAAAATATGGAAAATAACAACGAAATAAAAAATGAAAAAATAAGGAAAGAAAGAAGGAATATTAAATGGAAAAATAAGTAAAGAAAGAAGGAATATTAAATGAAAAAATAAGTAAAGAAAGAAGGAATATTAAATGAAAAAATAAGTAAAGAAAGAAGGAATATTAAATGGAAAAATAAGTAAAGAAAGAAGGAATATTAAATGAAAAAATAAGTAAAGAAAGAAGGAATATTAAATGGAAAAATATGTAAAGAAAGAAGGAATATTAAATGGAAAAATAAGTAAAGAAAGAAGGAATATTAAATGGAAAAATAAGTAAAGAAAGAAGGAATATTAAATGAAAAAATAAGTAAAGAAAGAAGGTATATTAAATGAAAAAATAAGTAAAGAAAGAAGGAATATTAAATGGAAAAATAAGTAAAGAAAGAAGGTATATTAAATGGAAAAATAAGTAAAGAAAGAAGGTATATTAAATGAAAAAATAAGTAAAGAAAGAAGGAATATTAAATGAAAAAATAAGTAAAGAAAGAAGGAATATTAAATGGAAAAAATAAGTAAAGAAAAGAAGGAATATTAAATGAAAAAAAGTAAAGAAAAGAAGGAATATTAAATGGAAAAATATGTAAAGAAAGAAGGAATATTAAATGAAAAAATAAGTAAAGAAAGAAGGAATATTAAATGGAAAAATAAGTAAAGAAAGAAGGAATATTAAATGAAAAAATAAGTAAAGAAAGAAGGAATATTAAATGGGAAAATATGTAAAAAAAGAAGGAATATTAAATGGAAAAATAAGTAAAGAAAGAAGGAATATTAAATGGAAAAATAAGTAAAGAAAGAAGGAATATTAAATGAAAAAATAAGTAAAGAAAGAAGGAATATTAAATGGAAAATAAGTAAAAGAAAGAAGGAATAAAATGGAAAAATAAGTAAAGAAAGAAGGAATATTAAATGAAAAAATAAGGAAAGAAAGAAGGAATATTAAATGGAAAAATATGTAAAGAAAGAAGGAATATTAAATGGAAAAATAAGTAAAAGAAAGAAGGAATATTAAATGAAAAAATAAGTAAAGAAAGAAGGAATATTAAATGGAAAAATAAAGAAAGAAGGAATATTAAATGAAAAATAAGTAAAGAAAGAAGGAATATTAAATGGAAAAATAAGTAAAGAAAGAAGGAATATTAAATGAAAAATAAGGAAAGAAAGAAAAATATTAAATGGAAAAATATGTAAAGAAAGAAGGAATATTAAATGGAAAAATAAGTAAAGAAAGAAGAATATTAAATGGAAAATAAGTAAAGAAAGAAGGAATATTAAATGGAAAAATAAGTAAAGAAAGAAGGAATATTAAATGAAAAAATAAGTAAAGAAAGAAGGAATATTAAATGGAAAAATAAGTAAAGAAAGAAGGAATATTAAATGAAAAAATAAGGAAAGAAAGAAGGAATATTAAATGGAAAATATGTAAAGAAAGAAGGAATATTAAATGGAAAAATAAGTAAAGAAAGAAGGAATATTAAATGAAAAATAAGTAATGAAAGAAGGAATATTAAATGGAAAAATAAGTAAAGAAAGAAGGAAAAAATATTAAATGAAAAAATAAGTAAAGAAAAATAAGGAATATTAAATGAAAAAAATAAGTAAAAGAAAGAAGTAATATTAAATGGAAAAATATGTAAAGAAAGAAGGAATATTAAATGGAAAAATAAGTAAAGAAAGAAGGAATATTAAATGGAAAAATAAGTAAAGAAAGAAGGAATATTAAATGAAAAAATAAGTAAAGAAAGAAGGAATATTAAATGGAAAAATATGTAAAGAAAGAAGGAATATTAAATGGAAAAATAAGTAAAGAAAGAAGGAATATTAAATGGAAAAATAAGTAAAGAAAGAAGGAATATTAAATGGAAAAATATGTAAAGAAAGAAGGAATATTAAATGGAAAAATATGTAAAGAAAGAAGGAATATTAAATGAAAAATATGTAAAAGAAAGAAGGAATATTAAATGAAAAAATAAGTAAAGAAAGAAGGAATATTAAATGAAAAAATAAGTAAAGAAAGAAGGAATATTAAATGGAAAGATAAACGAAATAAATAAAACTGGAAAATAAGGAAAGGAGGTAAAGGATAAAAAAATAATAAAAGAAATTAAAAATTTAAAGTAGGCTGTGGTAGTATGTGTGTGTGTGTGTGTCTGCTTGTGTGTGCGTGTGTGTGTGTGTTTGCGCGTGTGTGTGTGTGTGTCTGCACGCGCGCGTGTGTGTGCGCATGTGTGTGTGTCTTTGTGTGTTTACTACGTCATTTTGCGGGGGAATGGTTGTGCACGACGTATGCACCTCACGCACACTTGATTTAGAGAACAGAAAAGAGAAAGAAAGAGTTATTCCTTTGCTGTAATACCGCTGATTGTTATGCTATCTTGCAGGCATTGAACAAATCTATTGACAGAAATGGTGTATATATGTGTGTGTGTTGGCGGGGTGCGGGTTACCCCACACAGAACTCTATGCTCTTCGAAGGTAAGCATTGACCGCCTCACTCAAGATGCTGGATGCAATATTGATAACCCACCAATTCCAGCAGATGAACAGGAGAGATGGTATCATGAAGTCAAACACACCCAAGCAAACTCTGCATGATGATGAGGGTAATGTTAATCGTGATTGCCGGAAATAAAATCTGTGGAGAATAAGCCGAAAGATTGTGTTGCAAATATCTTCTCTTTAGAAATTTAGCATTTAAATATCGACTGCATTTTACCAAACTAGATAAGGTGGCAGACTTTTGTCTCTAGCTATTTGCTTTCGATAAGCACATTGGGAATAGTAACGGACAAAAATTGGATTGTGGACAGCGCGAAACATTAACCGGATGTAGTCACATTTACGCATGTTTGGTCACATCGCGGTAACAAGATTTCACCTCTGAACGCAGCTATGAATACGAGATTCAGTGACGGCCAGGAATTTCCATGAAAATATAACTTGTCGCAATTTCTATAGGAAGACTGCAGGACGACCGGTACGGATCGATTGCTTGTGAAAATAGAGAGGAAAAGATTTGTAAACACAAGGAACCGCTCGTTGATTAGAGTTTTATTGTTCTTTTTATTGGCTTCGTTTTTACAGATTTTTAAGGATAAATTAGTTGTTTATTCTACGTTGTTATTAACTGCTAGGATGTTTTTCTTTTGAAACATTATTAATGCCTCCATTTTCTTTGCCTTCTAAGTTCTTTATTGAAAATCTGAACCGTATTATTTGAATTTTTTTAAAAATTTCTTACGATGTCTTTTTATCATTTTTAGAAATAAAATTATATTCCTTTCATTCATTATTTGTTTTTCATATCGATTTTCCTCTTTACTTTTTCTTTCTCATTAGTTCCACCTTCTTTCTGTATTTACAAATGTTTCCTTTTTCGATAATTTTATCATTTCTTTCTCTTTCTCTTTATTGTTATTTCAATTTTCATGTATTCGTTATTCGTCCTAATTTATATTTTTATTATTTTGCCCGCATTTCTTTTTCTTTCATTTTACACATTGTATTCAATTTTAATCGTCTGCTTATTTTTTTTACATCCCTTTCTTTTTTTTGTTTTTGTTTTTGTTATTTAAAAATATATTCCCCTTTTTTTTTTTTATTAAAAATATCTTTTTTCCTGCTACCGTTAATTGTTTTTCATTTCTTGCTTAATTTTTTCTTATTTTTTCATTTCTTTTTCTCCCTAAATTTTTTTGTAAATTTCTTCCGCTTTTCTTATATTTTAATGTGTTCATTTATTTTCATTTGTTATTTCTATTTTATTTTCCGCTTCTCTTTTCTTTTTTGTTCAGTTAATTTTCTGTCTTTCCTTGTTTTTTCAATTTTTTTTTTTCCTTATTTTTTATTTTTTTTCTTTCGTTCCATATTTCTTCATTTATTCTTTTGTTTTCTTATTTTCCCTTTTTTTCTTCTTTTCCTCATTTTTTCATTTCGTATCTTTCCTTGTTTTTCATTTTTTTCTTTCTTTCCATATTTCTTCATTTATTCTTGTGTTTCCATATTTTTTTTCTTTTTCTTTCTTGTCACTATTTCTTCATTTATTCCTGTATGTCCTTATTTTTCATTTTTTTTCTTTCTTTTCCTATTTCTTCATTTATTCCCTATTTTTACATTTTTCTTCCTTTCCTTGTTATTTCATTTTTTTTCTTTCCTTGTTATTTCATTTTTCTTTTCACATATTTTTCTTTTATTTTATTTTCATATTTTATATTTCTTTCCTATTTTTCAATATTTTCTTTATTTCCATATTTTTAATTTCTTTTTCCTTCTTTCCTTATCTTTTTAATTCTTTTTTTTTATTCTTAATTTTTTCTTTCGTTCCTTATTTTATTAATTTTCTTTCTTTCCTTATTTTCATTTTTTTTTCTTCCTTTCTTTATTTTTTCTTTAATTTTCTTCTTTTTTTTCTTTCTTCTTCTTTTCTACCATTCGTTCGTGCTGCAATATCTGTTCTCGTGATCCTAATATCTATTCCAACATTATTGACAAAACTTTAATGAAGTGTCATTTTAATGTAATCGATCTTGACTACGCATCTCGACTTAAGTCCCTTTTCCCACCGACTGACGTGGCTTCCCTTTGTCTTTTCTATCAATATTTTCATGGCAATTGTTGTGATGAGCTTTCCGCCTTGGCGTCTCAACTGCACAACTTTAAGCCTGCTACTTGATGGGCCGAAATAGCTAGACATTCTGTTCTCATAGGTTCTTTTTCTCTCACTTCTCCCCTGTGGAACTCCCTTCCTATTTGTGCTTCCCTGTCACTTACAATCATCAAATATATAAATGCAACGAATATCGACATCTCATGCCTTCCTGAATTTTGTTCTGCTACTATCCTTTCTCCGCACATCTCCTCACTAAAGTCTTCTTATTCTCTTTCAACTCTTTTTTAACTCTTTGCTTCCTAGTGGCATTATCTTCTTGCTTCGGGTGGAATGATAAAAAATAACAAATAAATGATCGATGTAGCATCTCCTGTAGAGAAATTAATAAAATCTATCTGCATACACATACACACACACAAATATATATTTAGTTTTTTACGTTGCTTGTGGCTTGATTGCTTCTGTATGTGTATATATACATATACGTATATGTATGTGTGTGTATGTAGATATATATATATATATATATATATATATATATATATATATATATATATATGTGTGTGTGTGTGTGTGTGTGTGTGTGTGGTGTGCATGTTTATGTATATATGTGTGTATATGTTTGTGTATAGGTAGGCCTTTCTGTGTTTCTGTCTGTAGTGAAAAATGTGTGTACACTATACACATATATCTGTAGGTAGTTTTTATTTTCTTTCTCCTACTGTGCCGTAGTGCGTATGTAGATATATATAAATAATATATACTTTTATATATATTTGTGTGTTTGGAATTTTTGTTTTTATATATTAGATGGTGTTGTTTTTTATACGTATATATCTGTTTTAATGTCCTTTCTTTCCCTATTATTTCTTTCTATGTTCTATTAGACCATTTTTATCTACATATATTTGCCCGTATAAGTGGTTAGAATTCGTTTAATAAAACTTTCAATATTTCTTGGCTGTTGTAATGTGTATGTGGATGTATGTTCGTGACTTTATCAATATCTGTGCGTATGGTAACTTGGATGCACCTCTAATTCTGTATGTATGTTTGTTTTTTTTTTTTTGTAAAGGGTCGTGGAGATATTTCCTATCTCGTCACTTTTTGTGTGTGTATATATCTAAATATGTCTGCGTGCTTATTTATTATAATCTGATTGCAAGATGTCATCCTCATCTACATATAGTTAGAATTCAAATATATCTATGTTGTCAAGAACCTCAGAACAACAGTTGATATTAACGTTCATTCCAACTTAATTTCTATAAAAAAACAAAATAAATACAATAACATATGTATTTTTTCTTTTTTCCTCAGTAATTTTATAATTTTAAACTTAATAGAGATTAAATTTAAATTTAAATTTTAAAATGGGTACTTTTTAATTTTTAATTTCAAATTTTATCGTATAATTTAATACTTATTAGTTAGAATGAATTCTATTTTAGTCTAACCCCGACATTAAGTCATTAAATAGTTATTATAACCTTACTTGTCAAGTTTTTTAAATTCTCGTATACTTGTATTTTGATTGGTCATTCCAGCTTATGTAACAGTGCTTCCCCTTGCGCGGGGTGGTTAATTGATTTGACTCTTTTAAAACCCTTTATTCTATATTCAACATCATCACTTGATAAGACACCTGAGGTGTTGAAACAAAATGGCTATTTTTGTAGTGATTTTTTTAACATATTTATGTTATAATTTTCGAATAAATAATTACATTTGCTCTACTCTGTATTGAGCACTCTTTTAAGAATAGTAATTGTTGGTTATTGGAATTTATTTCGCATACACCAATCCTATACTTATATATATATATATGTAAAACTTGGGATGACCCATGCCCTTTATGCCTCCATGAGAAATTGCACATAATTAAGCTTCTAAATAATAATAATCTATTAAACAATAGACACGAGTTAACGGTTTTTTGTAGGCATCATCAGATTTTTGGTTTGAACTATTAGCTAAAAACTAGCATACAATATAATAACTTGTTTAATCCATAGCCCACTCATCAGATTCATGGTTTGAATAATTAACTAAAAACATGCATACAATATAACACCCTTCATAATCCATAGCCGAAATAAATAGTTTAAATACCCTAAAAAAAGATAACCCTTTATGAAGTCGTCAAAAAACAAACGTTACGACAGTTTTTGTTTTTTTATATGCACAAATCCCTTTCATAAAAAAATAAAATAAAAAATAAATAAATCTCCATAGACATGCAAACTAGACGAGGGTCAATACATCTTCCGTTTCAAATTTAGACACCCCCACCTTTCCCTGACTTGACATCTACGAAAGTAACTCTATACTGATGCTTATTATTAACACCCAACACCCGCCTACCCAACTTAAACAATTCGCCCTAGCTGTTACCATGGAAATTTTGATTTCAATTTTTAAAACACGTAAATTTCAGAAACACGTTATTCAAAAAAAAATTCGCTTGAAGATGGAACAGAGCTTATTTTAACTCATTTTAATTTAAATAATTTAAATAATTTAAATAATTATATCGAAGTTTTCGGCTCTTGTTTTGAAACATGAGACTTCTTATGTAGCGTTTTGGAATCATATTTTTAAATAAATAATTATATTTATGCTCTACTTTTTGTATCGAGCACTATTTTTTTAAATAATAACTAAAATACTAAGGGACTTTGGATTATTTACCTAACCAGTTCCTTCCTATTTTCTATATATTTTCACACACATATATATATATATATATATATATATATATATATATATATATATATATATATATATATATATATACCTTACGCATGTGGATTGATTTATCTGTTTATTTTACGGCTTATCTACCCTTTTGGGGCTATTTAAAGTCAAACAGCTTCTTACACTAGTCGACATGCCCAAATACTGTCCGATCTTTACACAGAGTAAATTCGATATCTGTCTTTAATGTTTTTGTTTGCGAAAACAGTGCTCCTAATGGCATTTTAAAGGATCTGTATTAATTTAATCTGTGCATATTAATTTATTCTGTATATAGTCAAACAAAATTACAACAAACCCTTATCATCTTAAACCTTTTTTTTTTACCAACGCCGAACCTCCTATGGACCATGCTAATTTTACAACTGTAGGGTGCCATGAAAAATAAATATACGATCGGTTCTAATAATGGCACACAATCAATTTATCCTAAAGTTTCTCAACAAATCACAACCGATAAAATCAGCCCACCCAAATTTATGTTTGAACACAAGTCAAATAAATGTCAGTCATTAAAATATATTACAAAAAAATGTTGATTTACAATCGTGCTTGACTCCACTTTTTATTTTTACCAGAATGAATACTGTAGGGCTTTAAAATAAAGCCTGATGTTCGATTCGGCATTTACAAAATGTGAAAACTAATCAGTAAAGTGTCAGTTTGTTCGTTTTATTAAGCAAATGTAAAAGATAAATGTTTTATTTTCAACATTGATCGATTAACTGATTTGTTTTTTTTTTAAGGTTTATCAACCCTTTTTAGTTTATTTACAGCCAGAAAATATTTTAGGTTATAAGAATATTTTCAGAGCTGATAATGATTTACTGATACAAGTCCGACTAATTAACCCATTGCTTGGGGGATAAAGATGCATTCATAACTTTCCCATGAATATTTGCGCATTACTGATTATAAATGAACCCGGCTGGAATTTGAACTCGGCTCTCCGATTTTCAATTTGGAGCCATTACCTCTCTCGGACAAGGTTACAAAAGTAGTGTTATTAGCAGCCTTCCTCACACGCTTGTCTTCAATATCTCCTGTGAATATCAAATTCTCTAAGCCCACTTTCCTCATTATCTGTCCTGGAAATTTCAACTGTCTCTTTCTGATGTATATGTACAAGTATCCTTTTTGTTTCCATTTTCTGTAAATCTTCGACCGTGGTATCCTCATCATCCTTCTGTAGAACCTAATTTCTGTTGCTTCAATTCTTTTTTTTTATCTGTAACGAGATCATGTACGACATTTTCTAAATAAGTAAGCTATTCATGCTCAGCATCCTCCTGTAGAATAACATTTCTGCTGCTCGAATTAAAGCAGACTTGTTTATGAATCAATAACTGATACGGGGTTTTCTTTCTAATCTTTATTATAAATGAAGAAGTGGCTTTCTGACCTAGCGTTTGCTTGTATAATATTTATGTGTTTCTCTGAGTTGCACTTGAGTTATACTGTTGGGTAGTTTAGGGGTTTAAGTGAACATTTGATTTACTTACGCCAGGAAGATTCGTGAAAGATGATAATGAGGAGGAAACACACGGGTAATTTTGACAAAACAAAACAAGGAATTTATTCGCAAATTTACTCGCTGGAAGTAGTATCAATAGTTCGTTTCAGGAAAATAAATCATAGTTTTAACATATTGTCATGAAAAACAAATGTTCATACAAAAGATTTATTGATCTGACACAAAATAATATTAAAAATGTTTAAGACAAAGGTAAAATAGTTCGTTACTCGCCAAAGAGATATATGGTTTGCACACGTTCAAAAGTAAATGGAGAGAGTATGAAATACTTATCTTTGTCAGATTGTTGAGACAAAAACTTTTGAAGTGATGCATGCTGGTTAGAAGCCAATAATATAATTGGCGAGTAATTTTACACTGGCGAGTACTTCAACACTGGTTGCGAGAAACTGAAACGAAACCTTTCATATGACTTCAGGCACTCTGCAGAGTAATTTAATTTTTCGCCTCATTTTGATTAAAAAAAGGAATTTCGATTAGTCTCGCAGCGTACTTTCCTTTTCTTCTTGGTTAACCGATTAATTTTTGTGAAGGCAA